CTCCCCTAATCCTGTGAGGAGAGGGCTGGCCCTGCTGCCCCTGGGGTTCCTTGCTAATTTCCCTGTCTTCATGTCATGCCACCTCCTTCCTGGTTCGCCGACGGGTCTGAGCTCAAACTTTTTCCAAAGCTCTTAGGAAACCATACATTTGTGTGGGTTTTCTGACCCGTAGATACCTTTCTCCCGTTTCCCATGCCTCCCCTGGAGTTTACATTCACATTAATGGAATTTCCAGGGAGGGGGAGAGGAGGTGTTAGACCCTTTCTGGAGCTCTGTCAGCTTCCTTAAACAGAAGCCTTCCCCACTGGATTTAAATTCGAAAAACAGTTTCCTTTTCTCAGGCCATTGTAACATGCGTATTTATATGTTGACTGTATTTTTTAAATCTCATTGTGTAGTAGGAATGATCATGATATTCTTAAATGGAAAATGATTTACCTAAAGTCTGCATAGTAAAGAAAGTAAAGAATGGCTTTTTCCAAACCAGGTACTTTTTAATCTCATTCAGGGTTGGTAGCCAACCTTGAAATATGTTCATAAGATGTTTTGTTTTTTTGTAAAAACCTACACATTGCTTTTTAACCATGGTAGTAGTAATATTATATAACAAATAGTCCGACTTTTAAGAAATTTTAGATCAACAAGTTGATTTGGTCAATAAAGAAAGCCTCAACTGGGAACATCATATTTTCCTTTAAGGGTGTTTGTTATGAAGTGGTCATTAATTATTGATGTGTTTATGGAATATTTTGTTTTAACAATCAATAACCAAAGCTACTGAAAATCCAAGTCATGATCCCTATGCACACAATGGGCCTTTAACATGGAATTTAAATTATTTGGGGATTAATGAATAACTTTAATTGTAGACATTTATCCTTTTTAAGTGTGAAGGATGTTATTAGTTCAAAAATTAAATTAGAGAACTAAGCCATTTATATTTTATGAAGGATGAAGCCCTGAATTCTTAACCATCCATTTTTAATGAGAATAATTGCCAGTTTTATTTGCAAGTAATTTCCTAGTGTTAATCTCTTTGTTGATATGAAAAGTATTTTAGATGTGTGGCTTTCAGCCTTTAGTCTAACAAGATCCTTTTGGGGGCAGGAAATGCTAAGAGCGTGAGGGTCGTCGAAGTGACTCCTTAGCAGCACATGAAAGGATGAGGGAGGGCTTTGATGCTGGGAAGAAACTCACCTGGAGTGTCTGGAGTGTGCCGTCTGCTCTGGCCAGACAACACCTAGGTGGTCTTCAGCTTGGGATACTGCTTCTAAGTGGGAATGGCAGTGAGCCAGGAACTGTGCAGAGGCTGAGGAGAAGGGGTCAGGTGCAGAAGACAAGACATGGTGTATGTGCTCTTGTGGCTTTTGTTGGGTGTCGAGAGGGCTGTTTTTTAAGAGGGAGCCTCCAAGCTGTGAGAACGAGTCCCCACTAAGAAAAAGGAAAGAGCGGTGATTCTGATTATTGAGAACCATGGGATGTGTATCCTCTCCCTAGAAAAATGTTCGTATGTAAAATTTGCATACACGAAGGATTCACAAACCCCCTGAATTCCATCATAGAACCAAACTTAAAGACCCTTGATATATAGAAAAATGTTGACTTGGTGCAAAAAGAGGTTGCCTCCCATGGGTCTGTACCACCATGGAGTGGCCTGCCTCAGCTGGCAAGTTTTCTCCCCTGCAAAATCCTGACGAGATTTGGAGATGAGGAGTCTGAACAGCCTTGGCTCTTCCAGCTTCAAGTCTCGTATCTCTTAAAATTGACAGTAAAGCTAGAGTCATGTCTTTGTTTTAATGAAATCATGTGGCCAGTGGACAAGAGCACAAATGGGTGATGTGAATATGTGTGTTTTCCCGTAGCCACCAACTGCTAAAATGCACGCCATCATCGAGCGCACGGCCAGCTTCGTGTGCAGGCAGGGAGCGCAGTTTGAGATCATGCTGAAGGCCAAGCAGGCCCGGAACTCCCAGTTCGACTTCCTGCGCTTCGACCACTACCTCAACCCCTACTATAAGTTCATCCAGAAAGCCATGAAAGAGGGACGCTACACCGTCCTGGCGGAAAACAAAAGTGACGAGAAAAAAAGTAGGTCCCACTGCATCTGTTCCATCCAGACTTTGGGCCTGTGTTGTGGGGGTGGCAGGCAGGGGGTGGTTCTGGGAAAAGTTTGAAGACGTGCATTCTTACAGATGCATGGTTGAAAGCCAGACTTGAATTTCTAGAATGTGTCTGAAATCCTGCAGCTAAGGCGTGATCATTACCCCTGCTGGTGCACCTTTATTAAATCCTTGGTTAATATTTTATAGATAAATGAAATATAATTAAATATTGATGCTATCAGAACATAATCATCTGGGTGGGAAATTTTTGCCCTCATTTTACCCACTTAACGTTTCAGAGAGAAAACAGTTATACCCTCTCTTGGATTATTCATGTACCATAGTGTTCAGGGCTGTATAGCTCTATACATGGCCACAAAAGTGAAAATTTTACTTGGATTATCTATTTTAAGCTATTATTTTTATAACAGTGTCTGTCTTTTAGAGTTCTTACTGCAAAAGCCAGTTAGCTGTATTTTGAATAAAGATGGTATTTTGACAAGTCTGTTCATATATGTGTGTATATATATACACACACACACACATATCTTCCATTGAATTTTTTTTTTTTTTAATTAGAGACAGAGTCTCACTCTTGCCCAGGTTGGAGTGCAGTGGCATGAGCGCGATCTTTGCTCACTACAACCTCTGCCTCCTGGGTTCAAGCAATTCTCATGCCTCAGCCTCCCGAGTAGCTGGGATCGTGGGCACGTGCCACCACGGCCGGCTAATTTTTGTATTTTTAGTGGAGACAGGGTTTCACCATGTTGGCCAGGCTGGTCTCGAACTCCTGACCTCAGGTGATCTGTCCGCCTCAGCCTCCCAAAGTGCTGGGATTACAGGCGTGAGCCACTGTGCCTGGCCCTTCCACTGAATTTTGTTCTCTTCAGCTAAAATAAGTTTCAAATCAGTTGTGTAAATCTTAATGCAGATCTCATCTTCAGGTTTGTTGTAGTTGTTTATTTCTGTTTGTTATTTTACTTTTCATAAATTAGTACAATTTTTGCCCTTTTTTAAAAAAGAAAAAAAAAGAAAGAAAAACGCATACAGAGCCCCAGACCAGCTGGTGTTCAGTGTTGGCAGGAGTCACCAAATGGCCAAAGGTTGCAGTCCTTTCTAGCTGGCCTTCGTCTGAGCAACTTGGGTGACTCTAGGGAAAAATTACTAATAGTGTTTTTTGGACAGTTAACCAAGAAGCTCTACCTTTGGCTGCTTCTAAGTTTTTGCATAATTTTTGTACTTTTTTTCTCACCAAACACCAAAATCTTGAAATGTGATTTTGATTTCAGAATCAGGAGTCAGCTCTGACAATGAAGATGATGATGATGAAGAAGATGGGAATTACTTGCATCCCTCTCTCTTTGCCTCCAAGAAGTGTAACCGCCTTGAAGAGCTGATGAAGGTTTTTATCTCATTGTTGAACTATATTTTTTATGCCACCACAAAACTGCTAACGTAATTTTGGAAAATTTGAAGCATGTCATTCTTGTGTGTTACAGTTGTATCTTACTTTATCATCATTGAGGTGTATTTGCATTTTTGTTTTTAGCTGGGTGACAAAGCATCTGCTTCTTTGGTTTCTTACCTGTCTATCTTATAAAATTCATGAGCATTTGCTCATGATAATTTTATCATTTCATTACAGTTTTACTCTCTGAGATACTTAGAATAAGTAGAGTGTTGGTTAAGACTTGGAAATTGTTCTGTTGTCCGGGTGCGGTGGCTCACACATGTAATCCCAGCACTTTGGGAGGCTGAGGCGGGTGGATGACCTGAGGTCAGGAGTTCAAGACCAGCCTGGCCAGGATGGCGAAACCCCATCGCTACTAAAAATACGAAAATTAGCCAGGCATGGTGGGTGCACTTGTAATTCCAGCTACTCAGGAGGCTGAGGCATGAGAATTGCTTGAACCTGGGAGGTGGAGGTTGCAATGAGCCAAGATCACACTACTGCACTCAAATCTGGGAGACGGAGTGAGACTGTGTCTCAAAAAGAAAAAAAGAAAATTGTTTAGTTGTGATTTCATCATAGGATTAGATTTTGTAGGTGATTAGAATGTATGCATCTTCAAGTCCTCTGTTACCATCATAGATTGTTTTTAAATAAATGTTTCCACTTCTAATTCTCCTCTCATCTGTGTGAAGAAACCACTCAGCAGTATCTTGTGGTTAATTCACACCACTCTGCCATTTGCGACAGAAAAAACAGGAGTCTACTGGATTTAAGTGTCTAGTTTTCAGCAGTTAAGCATCTAGTTTCAGCAGTTGTGCAGTGTGGGTGACCTTTTGTGGGAATGATTGCTGATTGATTGGACTGGAAAAGCTGTTGGTGATTAAAAATCAGAAACTCCTATAAGGAAAAACAGTTTGAAGTTTTGCATGGGGTTTAATTGGTGTCAAACTGGACTTAGTTGTTCATCTGTCCTTTTCTTGATAGTTATTTTGGAAATTGAAACCCTGTGTTTACTCAGTTCCTCTGAGACAGCCAGCTGGGGCATTTGGCCACAACTAGTTAGGACCTACATGGGTGCATGCGTGTGTGTGTTTTTTCTGAGGCATGTACACTGTGTCCTAGAGGTGAGCGTTTTGTAGCAGAAGAGTTCCGTGTGGTTCAGAATACTGAATGCTAAGGCTGTGTCTTCTCTGTTTTCAGCCCTTGAAGGTGGTGGACCCAGATCATCCCCTTGCAGCGCTTGTTCGTAAGGCACAGGCTGACAGCTCCACTCCCACCCCACACAACGCAGACGGTGTGCCTGTGCAGCCCTCCCAGGTGGAGTACACGGCAGACTGTGAGTACTCACTGTGTGTATCCTGACCTGTGTTCAGCTGCCTGTGACAGAGCCAGCTGCAGGGCTCTAAACCCCAGGTGTTCTGTCCTCAGTGTAGCAAGTTTGGAAGCAGGCAGCCCAGAGCCAGCGTGGGCCCCAAGGGAGAGTGCCATGGAGCTTTGCTTGGCCCCATGTCAGCAAGATGCTGCCCTGTTCCAGCATTAGCTCTGCATTCCAGGAAGGACTGGCAAAGGTAGTTGGCTGCCTCTTCTTTCTTTTTTTTGTTTTTTGAGACAGGGTTTCACTCTGTTGCCCGGGCTGGAGTGCAGGGATGCAAGCATGGTTCACTGCATCCTTACCTCCCAGACTCAAACGATCTTCCCACCTCACTCTCCCTATTAGGTGGGACTACAGGCACTATAACTCTGGGCTGATTTTGATTTTTTGATAGGGATGGGATCTCACTGTGTTGCCCAGGCTGGTCTCGAGCTCCTGGGCTTAAGCAATTCTCCTGCCTTGGCCTCCAAAAGTGCTAGGATTACAGGCGCAAGTCGCTGCTCCTGGCCCTGGCTCTGCCCTTCTTTAAATATCTCCCCCCAAACCATACCTAGTGGCTTCCCTTACCTCTCAGTGGCTAGCGTGGTGTCACGTGGTCTCCCCACCTGCAGCAGAGGCTGGGCAGTGGGGCCTCCGTTAAACATATTGCTGCCCTAAACAAAGTCAAATGCTGTTAAGAACAGGGAGAATGGGAGACACATAGTGTTGTCTAACACAGTTGCTTCTTTAAAAAGGCTCACGGCAGGCCAGACATGGTGGCTGGTGCCTATAATCCCAACACTTTGGGAGGCTGAGGTGGGAGGATCACTTAAGCACAGGAGTTTGAGACCAGCCTGGACAACATACTAAAACCCCATCTCAACAACAAATAAAAAAAGTATTTGGGCATGGTGGTCTGATCTGCTTGGGAGGCTGACGTGAGAGGATGGCTTGGCCCCAGGAGGTCAAGGCCGCAGGGAGCTGTGATTGCACTGCCGCACTCCAGCCTGGGCGATAGAGCAGTACCCTCTCCAAAAAAAAGCCTTACGGTGTAAGGCAGCATATTATATGCATATGTAAAGGAATTACATTTCTTTTTCTTGCTGATTGCAATTATTTTATGGTATTAATCGAAGGTAAGTCTTGAAGGTCCATGCAGGAGATCATTTGAAAGTGTTTGGCCTTGGTTCCAGCGTCAGGTCTTTTTGTAATTGTTTTATTCAGAGGTTAAATATGGAATGAGGAAGCTTTAGCAGAGCCGAGGAACCACCTGCTGAATCTGCTTCCCAGGCACATCTGGTGCCCTGACTCCTTTTGTAAAGCTTATATTCTTCAGTTCAGCCAGAGATGAATTGTTAAAACATGAGCTCCTCTTTATTTGATACAATCTTTTGTAAACATCACAGCTGTGTTCTTCGCTCTTCCCTTTTAACACTGGCATATACTAAACGTTTTTAGACTTTAAAAAATTAGTTATTTGAGTGAACTTTCTGCATGTGTCCCCCCAAAAAACTTTTGAAGCTGAGATTGTCTTTAAATGATTAAATCAAGTCATATCAAATTTTATTGAATATTCAAATCAAAGATCAGCTCTACTGCTACAGAGGTGCGTGTTGAATGGTGTAGGCAGCCAGCTAGCTGAGGTGCTCTGTAGATCTCTCCTAATGCCCAGTCCTCACTGCTTCACTGCATGGATTTTTGGAGAGACGGCCGCACACCTTTAAGTCCTGAGCCCCACTTGGCAGCCTGTGAAGCTTCTGCCCTGGCATCATGGGGCGCTGTGCTCTGCCCGGGATGCCTGCCCACTGAGGGACTATCCCTCTGCTTCCTCCTTTCCTTTTTCCAAGCCTATCGTTGAGTTTGCTTGAGCCACATGCATTGTCCGTGCACGTCCACTAGATCCCTGAAGCTGTTGCAGAGGAGAGGACTACAAATTCAGGGCAGGCTGACCTTGATTATTTGCCGTGTTAATCACTAGTAGAAGAACAGCTATGTGCAGACCCCGCAGGGCCAGGCAGGATGGTGGAGCTGGCTCATAGTGGCCGTTCTGTGACACACAGCATCCCCTGGTCTAGTGGGAACGTGATCTGAACCGAGGCATGCCGGGGCGGCATTGTGAGCTGTCTGGGTCAGAAGGCTAGGCACATTCCCAAGGGTTCACCGCAGGGCGACCAGAGCCCACACACCTTGGTTTCTCCCCACCTGCTGTTGGCTCACAAGACCACTGATGAGCCATGACAGCCTCTGCAGGAACCCCAAACTTACTCTGTTCAGGCCCCTGACTACCACCACCCTGGGCACTGACGGCACCCCACCCCATCCTCCCAGCTGCAAGTGCTCCAGTAGGGGGCGCCCTCTCCTCCCCTCAGTACAGTAGAGTTGTTTTGAAACATTATCTCCCCTCAACACAGCGAGAGTAGTGGACACACACATGTGAGAGTAAGGCGGCTGGGTGCCTGGAGGCTGGGGAAAGCATGTGTGTCTGATGTTAGGGTCTGTGGGTTTTAGACACACGCTCCTGCATCAGCCATATGGGTCAGAGCCCTTAGCACAGTGCCTAGAGCCTCCTCGATGAGCACTCAGGGCCACCACCACAGTCCCACCCATCTTGGATCTGGAGGCTCAGAAGGTGGGGGAAGTGTCCTCATCCAGTTTCCAAGAAGAGCCAAGAGCTAGAACTTTGGCTCTAAATCACTGTAAAACCCAGCAGAAATCAGTATAAACCTGTACTCAGGCGCTCAGCCTTATGGGATGAGTGGCTGTGGCGTGGCAGTAGTAGGGTCCTCCAGCACCATGCAAGCCCGGGCTGTGCGGCTGCTGCAGAATCTACAGAGGTTCCAGGGTGCCTTACTCACACACGCCTCCCTGCCCGCCATCTTCCTCTGCTACCCTTTGAGTATCTTGTTCTGCCTGCCTTGTGCTTCTGTGTGCTGTTGAAGTTTCGTGGGTGAAAGTCCCTCATGACCTTGTCTTCACCTTCCTGGGTTTTCAGTGAAGTTGTTGCGGAATTTGGGGTCCTGTGTGGCGGGTTGTTGGCAGTTGCAGGTAGAGACAGCAGTCATTGCTTTACCCAGGTTTGTCATAATTAGGGAACTACCTGTAATTCATGGACTGACTACTCTGTGGTTATTGGTTTGTAATCAGTCGTTGGTAACAGCATTTATTTACAAATGCAGTTCAAATAGAGGGAACACTGGACATAGTTTTTGGGTTGAGTTCCGTTGTGCTAAAGTTCAAGATAATGTTTTTACATTCATTATATGTAGTTAGTTTCCAAAAGTATTAATGCCGTGGGATCTCAACTATGCTTAAAATAATAAACTGAAGAGAGCTGTGCAAAAAATACTATGAGGCTCAGAGCTACCTCTCAGATTGGCATTTGGTTGATTTTTTTTCTCTACATGCTTTTTTCATTTTCCTAATGTTTTTGGGTATGCATTGCTATTTTACTTTTTTTTTTTTTTTTTTTTTTTGAGATGGGAGTCTTACTCTGTCACCCAGGCTGGAGTGCGGTGGTGCAATCTCGGCTCGCTGCAACCTCCACCTCCTGGGTTCAAGCAAGTCTCCTGCCTCAGCCTCCTAAGTAGCTGGGATCACAGGCGCTTGTGACTACGCCCTGCTAATTTTTGTATTTTTAGTAGAGATGGGGTTTCACCATGTTGGCCAGGCTGGTCTCAAACTCCTGACCTTAGGTGATCCGCCCACCTCAGCCTCCCAAAATGCTGGGATTACAAGCTGAGCCACTGCGCCCAGCCATGTGGCCATTACACTTAAGAAACAAAGTAAAATACAAAGTTCATAGAATAACTGTAGTGTTTGAAACGCCATGACAGTGAGGACAAGAGTAGCCTGTGCCTTGACCTGAGTTTGTGGCAAGCCCAGGCCTGTACAGATCTCCCGAAGTTCCTTCTCAGGCCTCTGAGCTGCTTGAAGGAAAGACCTTACTCACGGGCTGTGTCTGGCGAGCCTTTGTGAATGCAGTGTGTGAAGTTGGCCTTTGTGAATGCAGTGTATGAAGTTGGCCTTTGTGAATGCAGTGTATGAAGTTGGTGGGCTGTTTTGAAATTCCTGCTTCAGCCAGCACAGAGGAAGGTTTGAGGGGCCCCTTTCTGTCTTGGGCCCACCCAGCCCTGCTCAGGAGAGCTTGAGAAGCAGGTCTGCGGGTTGTGCTGCCCTTGGCTGCTCTCAGCTTGCTCCTTGTCTCCCCCTGATGTACCCAGTGCGTTCACAGAAGTGCTGTCTCACGGGGTTTCGTATACAGCCTGGTATTCCTGTATCTCTAATGTGTGATTTTCCATGCTCTGGGCATGCATGGATTTGTTTCTTAAACAGCAAGCTTTCTACAGAGAAGGCACAACCGTCAGAGGCATTAAAGTAATTTTCAGAAGAGGACTTAAACTGTGGGCTTTGCACTTGGGGAAATAGTAGGATACTGGAGAGAAAGCTGTCTGGAAAATTACTAACATTACTGATAACATTTTGGGAGACTCACAGCTGGGGCAAACCTGGGGCCCCGTGGGGTCTGGAAAGGGGTGGGGCTAGTGTCCGTCCAGCACGTCAGCTTCCACAGCACCCAGTTACTTTTCCCGAGGACAGAGGAATTGTGTGTGAGGGAGGAGGCGTGGTTTAAAGCCTGCAGAGACTCATGCCCCACGATGAAAGCAGAGCTCTGTGACCCGCGTTTCAAACCACTGCCAACCGTGGACACCAAAGACAAGACAAAGGACGTTTTGGCCGGAGACTTGAAACATCAGCTCTATGAGAGCGGGCTGGGGATGGCGCGGTCTCCCTAGGACTTACTGGGAAGGTGCATATCGTCAGGAGCTCCTCACCCTGCCCTGCGAGAACTTTCTTGTGTGCATCTCTGCCATCTCCTCCTCCCATTCCTGACCTGTGGAGCCAGGGGTGGACTGGCAGGCCTGTAAGGTGCCTTTCACATTGAGGGTCTTAGGATTTTCAGTCCAGCTTTGCAGGGAGCGGCAGTT